GGGGAGTTTGTAATCTATTTTGTTTCAGATACATTATTCAACACCATGAAAAACGAATTATGTGAAATTCTTATTTAAACTCACCTATTTCCTAACAGTTTCTAAAGAGACCTCTTACTAAATTATGTTTTCAAATATGATGACAAGAGTGATTTTTCCCCCCCTCCATCTAGTCCTTCTGTAGCCTTGACAAACTGTGTGCATTAGAAAAGGAAGGGAAACAGGTTTGCTATTGAGTTATTATTATCTTTGATCTTTAATAGAACCATTACCTCCTAGAATTTAGATGTAGACTTCTAAAATTTAAGAATAAAGAATAAAGTAAGATTCAGTGTGTGACAGGATGTTAGATCTCATAGGAACTTTAGATCAGTGTCTCACTGCTACTTGTCTTTTGAAGAGCCCTGGGTAGAACATGGCTGTCCAAGCAAGCAGCTGGGGTCCAGCAAGCAGCAGTGACTGATCAAGATCAAGGTTTCCTGGAACAAAAGGAGGGGCCTGCCACAGGTCCTTAAGAGATCAGTGATAGGAGTTGGATTTGGAGAAGACTGTAGAATGACTTTCAACTTTCTCCCTGGATGATGGTTTGGAAGGTGGCTCAGAATGCATGAGAGAGTCAAGGCCAAGTTAAACATGCTCATTTTGAGATGCCCATTGTGACTCAAGTGAGCAGCTAAGGCACATAATAGATTTATTTGCAACAGGGCTAAGATTAGCATTTGCCCTTCTTTCCTTTTCTAAAGTTTATTGTGATATCACTTTGCCTCCCCTAGAAAAGTCTTTATAATTGAATTTTCCCCACATTAAAAAAAACTTAATGTAGGGGAAGAAAGAAGATTATACCTTCTCCTGTCATTAGGAGATTTATCCTCTTCTTCTGCATACCATGTTAACTATTTGAGATTTTTTTCTTACTTCCCTGTTTCCTTGACTGTTATACTATTCTATTATACATGTTACTATGGGAGTATCAGTGCACACTAGCCAATTATACCTTGTTAAATAATGTGTGTAGAGTTTTATACAAAATGTTCATGTTCTTTTGTAAATGGTCAGTTTATAGATCCTGTTATTGAGGAACTGGGGTCAGGGGAAGCCTCCAATGGCATAAAGTGTAAGTTAGGCTATCTCTTCAGTTGTCCCCACAGTTATTTCCAGTGTGTGCACTGTACCAGGTATGAAACTGAGGCTGGAAGACTAAGGAATCTGGGATCATGCAGCAGAGTCCTGAGTGCCCTCTGGGTTCAGGATGTCAGACTTGACAGAGAAGTGCTTGACAGAGAAGCTAAATGTTGAAATGCTCAGATGATGATCAGGCAAAAAAGAAATATCCTTAGGTAAAATTTAAAACCAAACCAAAACTTTGTTCCACGTGTCTATGAGACCTGACAGGTTTCCTTGTAGAGTTTAAGTTATTTCAAGGGCATGCCTATGGGACAAAATGGAAAGTGTTTATTTTTGCCTAGTACACTTTGAAAGGGCAACAAATTAAAATGCAAATACAAAATTTGCCTAGGCAAATAAGGTGTGGATAGCTGAAGATAGCAATTAAGTTGTTCTAGTCACCATTCTGGATGATCATCCTTTGATTTGGGCTAGCCTAAAAGCTAGTCTTGAGTGATTAGAGGAAGCAACAGGGAGTCTTTTGTAACTTTAGTTCTTTGGGCTACAAAAGTTTCCATGCTTTGCTATTAAAATGTAACTGCTCTGTAAGTGATGAGCCTTATTGTTTCACTAGCTGTCAGGAGTGAGAAGACCCAGTAAAGGAGAGCAAGGATATGCAGAAATCAGGGGACAGATGCAGAGCCCAGCCCTGCCTCTCAGGTCATCGATGCCCTTGCATTAGGGGAAGAAACTCTCCCCATCTCCATATAATTGGGTCATCTAAGTAATAACTACCAATGAGGGCTCATGTGAGGTTGAAGATCTGTAACATATCTAACAATTTGAAAGTTACCAGGATTCTTCTGGTGTTCTATGTTGTTGTTGCTCTCATTGAAAAACAAAGAGGAAATATTGTAGGTAGGGCTGGTTTCAAACAAATGGGTCAAAGATGTTTCATATATAGACATGCTACAGGGAAGGTGCTTATCTGTAATCTCAGCTACTTGGTTGGCTGAGGCAGGAGGATCACAAATTCAAGGCCAGACCTTGTAAAGGCAACTTAGAAAACCCTATCTCAAAATAAAAAGGGCTAGGGATGTCATTTAGTGGTAGAACACTTGCCTGGCACATGCAAAACCCTGGTTCAGTTTCCAGCATCATGGGGAAAAAAGAAATGCTACAGGATCTGCACAATGATATTTTGAAGATATATAATATATATATATATATTTAATTTTCACATAAAAATAAGCTATGAATAATTTATTTGTATGTTGTTTGGTTTGACCAGCGAACCATCAACCCTGTGTGTTTTGATCTACAGAACCATGACATTAAACTGTATTGAATAATTAGAATTTATTATAATATAGAAAAATTGAATTGTCAAGTTTTATAACTAGAAGGGACCTCAGAAATCATCTAGTCTGGTGGTTTTCAAACTTGATTTTAGCAGCAGACTTTTTACTTTAAAAATGAAATCTTAGAGGGAACTCCATTTCTTTTTTAAAGAGAGAGAAAGAGAGAGAATTTTAATATTTTTTTTTTTTTTTTTAGTTTTCGGTGGACACAACATCTTTTCTTTGTATGTGGTGCTGATCGAATTGAACCCAGGCCGCCTGCATGCCAGGCGAGCGCGCTACCACTTGAGCCACGTCCCCAGCCCAAGGGGACTCCAATTTTTAACACAGTTAATAACAAGGGGGTTCCTTGAATCCTTTAATTTTGATCAGTTGGGGGAAAAGGTCTTCATTGCCTGCAGAATCCATTAAGCACTTCAGGTGACACAGTTTGAAAACTGTTGTTCTAGTCCAACCCTTTCATTTTACAGATGAAAGAGAGTTTAGGTGACTTGTCCAAGGTCACACAGGTAGTCATGGCAGAGCTAGGACTAGTCTCAGATTTCTTGATTTCCAGTCTAGTGCTCTTTCCATTACACCATACTGCCATAAGGTAGGTGCTGTGTTAGCATTATGTTCATAGCTACTAATTGTCTTTAGTATTTTGTAACTGATTTATGCTGGTAATATGCATTGAATGTTAAAGTGTATTATTCAGAAATGCAAAGGATAAAAATACAGATTAAAATCACATAGGTGTACTATTAGAAGATAAATCAATATCTAGAATGTTTCCTTTCACTTTTAGAAATTATTTTAAAGCAATACATTTAGGTAATGTCTGAGCTATACTGGATATTTTAGTCTGATACCAATGATCAATATGTACGGAGTCAGTATGTTTTTGTGCAGACATGCACTTGATGGGAGCAGCATTGAGATGGCTGGCTGCCATTCCCAGGGGGACCATGGATTGCTGTCATTTCCAGTATGGGCCAGTCTCCAGTCTTTAGCTGGTGCTCCTCCTTTAGCTTGTAGTAGTCATGAGCTCATTCCACATTCAACTCTGCAGACTTTCCTTCATTCTTTGTATTCTTACACCTTCTGTATCTGACCCTTTTGTTCTTCTCAGTTTGGTTATCTAAGTTTCACTGGGACTCTACCCTAAAAGAACATAAGGTTTAGTCATTGTAGAGCCCTGTTGCCCCTGATAATATCCATTGTTAATCCAGTTTCCACTTAGATGTTCCTCTCTGGTATTATCAGTCTCTTACTAGGTGCCAGGAAAGTAGAAAAAGTGTATTAAGTCCTCTATAACTATTGTTTTACCAACTTAAAGAACTAAGAGACACATGGAAATCTGCAGCCTTACCACTGTGAATGGGTAGAATTCTTAGGAGATTTCTCTGGGAACATAGATGCTGCCACTGGTCTAAGAATAAATTGCTGGTTCCTGAGGAGAGCCAGCTGCTGTGGGAAGCCTTAGCTCAGGTGTTGTGATTCTGTCAGAGTTGGATGCAACTTGTTTCTATCTTATCAAATATATTGAGTAAATCTCTAAGCAATAGAGATTCCTTAGAAAATATATTTTTTTAGCCCTACTTTGGTTTGAGAATCAAACAGCAGTGATTAGTTATCAGGCCTCATTTTTGAAATGTATTCCTTCTGAAAGCCAAGTTCAAAGTTCTGTGGGTCACATGATGAAGGCTGTTGTTCTAAGACCTGATGACCTCAGACAGGACACACAGATTCTCTGGGCATGTGTTTCCTCCACTTAATGGGGGAGCAATTTAGTTCTTCCTCCTAGTCGCAGCTAGCTCTGTTGACTGATCATGCTAGTGACACAAAATAATATTGGTATTCCAGATGTTACATTGCTCATGGTGTTAGCTCAGTTGGATCCTCATTTTCCAATAGACTTGGTGATGATGCGAAAGTTCTATGTCTTTGCAGTCCAGTTCTGTAGCCAATGGCCACAGCAGGCTGTTGAGTACCTGAAAAGTACTACTGCCACTGAAGAATTGAATTTTAAGCTTTATATAATTTAAAAATTAGGTAACATTTGAATTTAAAGGTTCACATGTGGCTACTCTATTGGACAACCCAGCTCTCAGGTGTTGTCTGACATGAAAATCAGATGCTGGGTAGAACAGGTGTGCTGCATTCTTCCAGAGAGTGACGATTTATATCCTGCTGAATTGTTACTGGCTACACTCTTAGGGTAGCTTGTTAGAAGTCAATCACTTCTTTTTTTTTTTTTTGCATGAAAATGCAGAAAAAGGAGATCGGGTTTCCTCTTATTTGTGACTTAACCACATGAGTTTCAGCTGGAAAAATGTTTATTAATTTGATGACAAGTGACACATTTTCTTCTGTGCTCAATCTCATATCATTTGGGCCTCAATGTGGGTTTCAGGGCATTCCTGCAAGTTTCCTGGAAAGCTGCTGAATTTTGAAAGCTTCTGGCCAGTAAAGGAATATATTGATATGAGCATCTGAATTATGCTGGTTTCTGAGTATATAACTAAATAAAACTCTCTTTCTTCTGCCCCCCAGAACCAAAGAAAATGGCTTTGACAGAGAGCCTTTGCACTCAGAACATCCAAGCAAGCGACCATGCACTATTAGCCCAGGCCAGCGGTACAGTCCAAATAACGGCTTATCCTACCAGCCAAATGGCCTGCCTCACCCCACCCCACCTCCACCTCAGCATTACCGTTTGGATGATATGGCCATTGCCCACCACTACAGGGACTCCTATCGACACCCCAGCCACAGGGACCTCAGGGACAGAAACAGACCTATGGGTAAGACTGAAAGATCTATTCACTTTTTTGGCATTTGGATGCTTTAGGTTCTTGCATCATTACTTCTCAACTGAGTTTGAGGCTTGAAGTCTTATAGAGGCAAAGTTTTGCTTTCTTCATTTTGTACCCTTTATGAGAAAACTTGGTGTTATTAGTATACTCTTACATGCTTGAAGACAGCAGGCTAATTTTCTTTTTGATTTTGGAGGAGGGCATCAAACTTAATAATAAAATCCTTAATTATGGTAACAAAAGTAAAATGAACTTTTAGCTTGAATCTTGTTTTATGAGAGATTTCATATGTAGTCTGTTTGAGAATCAAACAGCAGTGACTCTTTTTAAAAAATATTTTTAAAAATTATTTTCTTTTGTATATATTTTTTGTTTCAGATAGTCATTTGGACTTGTGCAGTCTCCATGATATTCCATATTTCCAAAATATGAGATGGCATACTATTTATGGCTTAACTTGACAGTGAGGAATGCTTGGTACTTTTCTCTGCTAGAAAATGCCAGTGATTAAAATTAGTATTGTTGATTTTGCATCAAAGAACAGAATACAGAATGAATGAGTTTAGGAAAATTTGTGTCCTACTTGCCTGTGTCCATTACTCTTCATAAAACTATTGGATATAAAGCTTTAGGAGATCTTGCCTTTTATTGAGCAAATGTCTGCTGCAAAAAATCAGAAGGAAGATGCCTAAGGTAAGTTTTGATAGATGATGGGTGGTTGAGGTGATGGTATCAGGTAGTAAGTACGCTGTTCCTGGGACACCTTCAATGTCTAACCTTCAGAATCTCACTAAGAGCAACAACCATCTCCCTCTTTTTCCCCCATCTCCTGTGACCATACCACCCACCAACAGGACTCCCTTTACTTCATAACTAGCTGTTGGCCAATTTTCCCGACTATGGGAGATTTGGTGGGCAGGATACCAGAAAGAACAAGGGTGAAGTTGAAGTAGAAAATCAGAAAACAGAGCTAAAGATACAGAACACTGGGAAACAGCCAGCCACCTGTCAGCTGCTGGTTTAATAGTGACAGGATTTTATTTTCATTTTTGTTTTTCACGGGCAGAGATAGCCTGAAATGCAGAAGTTTCTGTTAGGCTTCTACCCAGGTTTTTAGGCTGCTATAAGGTAGTATTTTTGTCTTCCTGTCCAGCGTCCTCCAAATGTCTAGAAAGCAGGATGGGGATGAGATGACTGAGGCTTTGGTTGTGAGATAGTAAATTAGTAATTCTGGTTGCCCACAACAGTAATTTCTATGTTTATATAGTGTGTCAGACAAAAATGGCTAAGCAGATAATTTGTGCTTTCTTAATGGCCGATCTGTCTAATGTTCTCACAGGTACTATTTCTGAAGGGCTTTTCAAAAGTGGTTATGCTTTCCCTCAGTCTAGACTGAGACCTCAAAACCAAATGTGATTACAACCCCTTTCTATGCAGAAGCCTTACCATTTATTGATGACTTAAGGCCTGAAAATATGATTGCTCATGTTTAAATAGCAGTGGAATCATCAGGTTACTGTGAGACCAGTTCAGGAGATGATGCACTGTTGTAGGTGCCAGAGAATGGTCTACTTCTTAGGCAGCAAATGCTATTTGGTGAATTATTAGTTACAATGCACTATAAAGTAATCAGCAAGGAAGTAATTATGCTTATGTGCAATGATTATGTTTTCATCTAGTAATATAAAATATCCCTTTATGAATTATATCTGTATCCATTGGTTTTATGTGATTTTCTTCAGACCATGTTTCTTACCTTTTAATTATATTAGCTTATAAAACTAATAGTGCTAATCTCTATAAATATGTGCAGCTACTTAACCATCCCTAAAGTCTGCCAGAGTTTAGTGTGTGTTAATGTAAAATAAAATCTTGATGTGGGAGTAACAAATTATGGCATTACATCAGGCTGCCATTTTGAGAATATAAAAATTGTCATAAAGGTATATTTAGTCTGATATGATTTATAAATGTGTGTTATATGTAGTGACATATACTCAACTGAATCCTTTAATAAAGTAATTTTGTAAGCAGCATTAGTTTGTAAGTAAGCTTTGGGTTTTAGCCTAGTTAGCTAAAAATCTTCTAAAACATAGGAACCAGTTAAGACATAACATTAGTGCCAGGTGGCCCACAAACAGAAAATGTGTTCTTTGATGATTATGAGCTATTTTACTCTCATATATCCCTATGGTATTATGAACACAAATAAAATTTGTATGGTGTTGAATATTTAAGTATGTGAAGTAAAGAAATTAATTTTCAGTTGTCTTATTTTTTCCTTACATAGATTTGATTCTAACAAATGACCTTCAGAGTTTGAAAGTACCAGATGAAGCCCTTATTTCTTCTGTAAATACTTGGGCACAACAATGTTTCTACCGTTCTTCTGTTTTAAAAGAATGAGATGAAACTTAGACTACTAAGACTCGTAGTAGACACCTGTTAACCACAAACTTTCTATTGCTCATTAATTGTTCTGAGTGTTAGAGCTTGAATCGTTATTGATTTAGTTTGCAGAATTTTTGAAAATGTTGAGACCTCTGGAGGTCTTGGTTCTTATTGCCAAACATTTAGATGCCACCATCTTGAAAGTTCCTGTCACATTTATATTTTCATCACCCTCTGGTTATTTTCTGTGGTGATTAATTGTAGGAATAGTGTTTTTATTCCTCCCAAACACAGGCAACAAATAAGTCAACAAAAATTACATATTTGCAAACATTTCAACTTGAAATATTCACAATAAACAGAGGAATAACTATTCTCCCCCCTCCCAATATCTTTTCTATTAAGCAAATTAGTAAAACATTTGCAATTTTATGTTTTGCCAATAGGTGGCATTGACAATTTTAACTTTTAAAATTTATCTCTGAGTATGTTCTGTTTGGACAGGAATGATGTATAGTATTTTTATATCTTTTTTATCTTTTATTATTTTTTAACCTGAGAGAGCTATCATAAATGTTCACTTTCATGGGTTATAGATGAAATTGTATCTTATAGTTGGCTGAAAAGAGTCATGTGAATCATCTTTTTTTTTTCGCCTTAAGTCAGCAGAAAGAAAAGATTTCTAACCACTTAGATTTCACAAAAAGTGGAATGTAATATATTTTTATTGTCATTTTATGCTTAAATGACAGGACCTCAGAGAAGGAGCCTCAATGTCTAGAAGCCCAAACCATTCCAGACTTAATTTGCTGTTCAGATTAACAATGTGAGGCAGAGCAACCAAAAAGAATTGTTTTGGTCATTCAAAGCAGAAAGCATAACATTGCCCAGTGCCCTTCCTTGATGTCGATGGTAAAGGGCACTTTCCCCAATGAAGGCATGAGAGGAACACCAGGTTTCTAGACATCTCTCATCAGTCTTCTATTCTGACCTTTTATGGAGAAATGTGGAAATGCATGTTCATATTCTAATGACTAACTTACCTAACTGCTCTCATTCATTAATATCAGTGCACTTGGTAAACATTTACATGATACTTTTTCATAGCAGTATAACTGTGGTGCTAAAGAGCATTAATACTCATGGACTTCAAATTATGATTTTCAGTTTTTTTAATTTGAATGTGATATCTGTTGAAGTATAACTGGCATGCTGATTTTTGATAAAGCATATCTCATTTTTATATCTTATGTTTTTATAAATTGAATTAGTATATATAGCTTTTATATACATATATAAAAACACTCTATTTGTGGCCTAATTTTATCAGCAAGATACATATATTAGGATTGTATTCATCCATACCTGAAACATGAAAAAATGGTTTACTATGTTTTGGGAAATCATATAAAATGAGTCATAATGTCTATTTTTTAATGCAGACCAGTCATATTTTGAAGTCACCTAATGTCTACTCATGTTTTTTTCTATTTATTTAGTGCTGGGGAGTAAATCCAGAGCCTGTGTATGCTAACCACACTGTCTACAACCTAACTACATCCCAGCCCCAATTTCTTGTATTTATTAAGAGCTAAGAATATGTTTATATTTGTACTTAGGGAGTCTCATATGAATAAGAAGCTCTAGACTTGTTATCATGTAGCTCTGCCTCCTCGTGTGTAAAATAAAGAGTTCTGATGAGATGACCTCTAGAATTCCTTGGAGTTCTAATATTTTTGTCGTTCTTCTGAGGACGCCATTGGGTAATTCTGACTAAGTATAATTCTTATCTCCAATCAAAATAAAATGTTTCAACATCTTTGAAATCGCCTACATGGTCCTGGCTATGTGCAGGATTGCATATAGATTGGGTACTGAATACTTTAGGGCAATTAAGCCTTTTTCTCTCTATTTGTAGGGTTGCATGGCACACGTCAAGAAGAAATGATTGATCACAGACTAACAGACAGAGAATGGGCAGAAGAATGGAAACATCTTGACCATGTAAGACATCAGTAAACATTTAGGTTAAAAAAAAGTTTTGAGAACAACTGAAGTGAGGTCATATAATAAAAGCTTAAAGATGCTTTGAAGGTATTGTGTTTCCTGATCTCCTTGGAAAAAAAAGAATGAATGAAAATGTTTGAGTAGAATGCAGGATTTGATTTCCAAATTGATGTGAAAGCCACATAAGAGAAATATTTAGATCTTGGAGAAAGACCAGCAGGCTACTGTTTTATTTTGAAAGGGTGATTGGCTTACTATTCTGGAAAGGTAGATTTACTAGCTATAACACCTTGAAGGTAAATATGATTGGCACGATTCACATTCGAACCTCTTGCTTTTCTTCTCTTTCCCACTGAATATGCTCATCTGTTGGGTCGGAATTTCAGATCTGACCATTAGAAATACTAAACTGAAATCCTTCAGGAATGCAATTTCATCTTTCATTATCCTGAAATAGTTGGTTTTCTTACCCACCACATTCTTTAATCTGTGGTGATTTGTATGTTCACCTCTTTCTCCTTGTTTCTCGCGCAGCTGTTAAACTGCATAATGGACATGGTAGAAAAAACAAGGCGGTCACTCACTGTACTAAGGCGATGTCAGGAAGCGGACCGGGAAGAATTGAATTACTGGATCCGGCGGTACAGTGATGCTGAGGACTTGAAAAAAGGCGGCAGCAGTAGCAGCAGCCACTCCAGGCAGCAGAGTCCTGTCAACCCCGACCCCGTGGCATTAGGTATCTTTACTTCAGATGAGAATCTTGTGTTTTGGTGGGATGTGGGTGGGGAGAAGGTACCCGGGTTTGACACAGGGCACTTGACCACTGAGGCACATCTCCAGCTCTACTTCATATTTTACTTAGAGACAGGATCTCACTGAGTTGCTTGGCGCCTTGCTTTTGCTGAAGCTGGCTTTGAACTCAGGATCCTCCTTGTCTCAGCCTCCCAAGCCCCTGTGATTATAGGTGTGTGTCACTGTGCCCGGCCAGATGAGAATCTTGAATAGATATTTCTTATGCTATTACCCACTGGCTGTTTTTAACATTTTTTTCAAAAATAAGAGATACTCTGAGTTTATGACAGAATTACAAAACTGAACCAGAATTTTATTGCACTATTAAAATTTATGCTCCTTCATAATATAGCTATTTGTACCCTGCCTCAAAACCTGCAGAAACCCCATCTCATAGAGTGGGCCCGTGGCTTCTACTCCTCTAACAAGGCCTCTTGGGAATTCTTCTACTGCACAGCAGTGTTTGACAGCACTGCACACAGGGATGTGTGTTTTCTAATTTTTAATTCAAGATACAGTCTCTAAGACAGTCTTGTTTTGTGGTTGTATCTTGCATTAAAAAAAGAAAAAAAACTTCTCAAAAATTCCTCTTGGACAGAGAAACCTAGAAGCTATATAGTTTATCTACTCTGCTTGAAATTTGATGATGAATATGTAGCTCTCTTCCTGTGACTGGATAAGTTAGATTGCTTAAATATGGTTTTATTCATTATGTAATGGGACTATTAATATAACCATGCTTTAGAAATTGAGTGTTCGTAACTATGTTTAGTATTGGTGTTTGGGGATTATTGTGGTTATAAATAGAATATAGTCCCAAAGATATTGAAAGAAGTCTACTAGAATTTTGGAGTGGCCTGCGAACTTCTGCTTGAATGAAGTGTAAGGTGTCATCATTTACATTGCTGGCCATTGTGTGTGAACCATTTGAACAAACTTAGTGGGGATGATTTGTGTGGATCCTCATTCTCTCATCTCCAGCTCCCTACCTGTAGCTCACTGAGGTTAGAGTACAGTCCTTGTACTCTAACAAAACAAAACAAAACCTTATTGTACACATGCATATTTAAGCTCATGTCTTTGACATAATTGGCACCATAGCTGATTATCAAGAATTAAAAGCTTGAACTATATTATCTGGCTATTTGATCACATTATCTTTTTATTAAAATTATTCATAGCCAGTATAGTTACCTTTGCATCTATATTTGTGGATTTCTGCTAATTGCCTATTACTCTAATAAGTATTAAATTAAGGAAGATTCCTAGCTACTTAATTTACCCAACAGGCAGATTCCTAGCCACTTAATTTACCCAACAGGTATTATTCTGAAGCAGACTTTAAAGACAAAAGGATATTTGTCAGGCTATATTAAGGCAAGCAGTGAAAACAGAATTAAGTTTGATTTGAGCCATTATTGGGCTAAACAAAGCTATTTGGAGCAGAGTATAATAAACATCTTGTTTTTATTTCCTTATTATGAACAGAGATCAGTTAATCACGACAGATTTGCTCAAGGAAAATGATATTATTTATAAGATCTAATATAGGCAAAAATTGAGAGCCTTAAAAAATAAGATTTTAGCAGTAAAAATATGCACTTTGACCTTCTGTGTGGCACACATTAATGGTACTATTACATATTTATTGAGTGCTTACTACGCACTAGGCTTTGAACCAGGCACCATAATGAAGGAAAGGGATTCTTTATTTCTTCCTTGAGGATATTTGGGTCTAGTAGAACAGAGAGGCAAGAGAATAATGTTACAAGCACAGGACAGCTACCTCAGATGAATCCTACAAACTAGACTCTGAAAAAGAAGAAATTCAAAAATTGATTTGACATCATACCTAAATTGTTATTAACCTACCAAATATAAGCCACTTTGTACACAGTCACTACTCCTACACACAAACTCTGATGATGCCGATGTACACCATGTTCTCCAGGGAGATAAATTCAGTTTCTGTGTTATATATAGAACCAAAAGAATAAGCTTGGGTTTTTTTTTTGTTTGTTTGTTTTTTAACCTACTCCTTCTGAGTACACAAATTATACTACTTTTAGTGATGTTTAATGAATTCACAGTTTTGGTAAAGCCGAGAAGTTGCTTTGGCTTTAAATTTGCGTAGTTAAGATTATCTACAGGCTACAAGAATTTCATTGTTTTGTTTAGAAACCACAAAAACAGTCATGTTCTTATGGACACAGAACCCTTGGTTACCTATTAAGAAACCATCACAACTCTTAAGAGCTACACAGTGTTCCAGTCCTGGCGTCCAACAGTTTTTCCTGCGTGTCCTTGCTAATTGATTCTTGAGGCCCTTCAGCTTCATTTTCTGGAGCTGGGTTGAGGCTGTAAATAAGAGGACAGGTAGTTTGTAATTGAGGAATACAGTCATTTACATAAAGTGCTCTCTCTCTCAGGCTTTGAAGGTGAATGTATTGAAGTGTATTATGAAAACATTAGGGATTATTGGTTAATAAATCTGTGTTGCTGGAAAGTTTTTAATGGGGTACATGTTTAAGATAAAGTTATAGATATGTTATTCTTTTAAATACATGTCAATCTCGTTATGCTATGATTAGGTTGTGTATTTCTTTTAGCCTAATTCTTTCAATTCTTAAACCATCCGGCTTCAAGTGAGACCTTCAGAATATATTGTAGAAGAAATCTTTGGTTCAGAATATTGCCTAACCTACATCCCCAACTTGAGAGCATGGGAATGTTTGTTATACACACATTCTTAGCATTTTAAAATTGCATTTGGGGACTGCACAGAGGAGAACGTCACTTCCATGACTGATGGGTCGTTTTATTCTCAGACCCGTTCTCACTGTTGAAATACATCCACAGCCTTAAGTCAGTATGGGGGATTAGAAAAATAGCATGATTAATCTATCACTAATTGAATTTTAGGAGTTTTCCCCAGATATTAAATAACAACTCTATTGTGAATAGCCTCTGAAAAAATTTTAAACACTTGAGAACATACTGAACTCATAATGTCATTCCCATTCTTTAAATAAATACAAGTTGAAATCTTAAAGGACCTTTAAAAATAGATTTTTCACTTGAAATAGTAGAAAAAATAGATTTTCACTTGGAATAGTAAATATGGATTGTTTTTATTATTCCTCATTGGCTATCCAGGGAAAACTCTAAATATTCAACTCTTAACAGAATTAGCTAATTTTTATTTATTCTTTTTAAAAATGTGACTTGTATATTTGTTCAATTACATTGTGAACTTCACCAAAGACCCAGGTTAATGTGATCAGAATTGATAGATTCAATCACTGTGGTAACTATCTGATTCATAAGGATAGATTGTGGCTAGTTAGCTTTTCATGTATTCTCTAAGTGTTTGTCTGGGCCTCTGTAGCTCTTTTCTTTTAATTCCTTTTACTCTCAGTATGCTACTCATATCCCTCTCTTGCTTTAATTTTTTTTTAAACTGGCTTTGGACTGTTCTAGAATCTGTGTTCATTGTCTGTCCTTTGTTTTCAAGAAAACTTCCACATGATTAGGGTTTTAAAAAATACATTTAATGGTGAGTTTAAGACTGTTAGGGACTTGAGAGTTACAGCTCTGAAATATGAATGCATCTATTCTGCTTTTTGAATGTAAAAATACTTTTTGAATGTATAAATGTGATAATAGGGAAGTAAATTTTAAAAAATACTTTCATGTATGTGTCAGTAAGGGTTAGCTCTTGCCAAAGAAAGAAGTATAGTGGGTTTTTTGTTTGTTTTGTTGTTGTCGTTGTTGAAATGGGATGAAAAATCAAGCTGATTATTCGTTTTTTTAAAAAAAAAAACCTTAGCAATTTAGGAGTTTGTTGAATTCATGGAGGAGATTGTATTTTAAAATTGCTCTAGTTGGAGGAGACAGGTGTGGTGGCTGACACTTGTAATCCCAGCTATTCTAGAGGCTGAGGCAGGAGAATCATTAGTTGGAGGCCCATGTTAGCAGCCTAGTGAGATTCTGTCTCACAATGACAATAACAAAGGATTATAAGACTGGGGATATAGCTCTTGGCTAGAACGTATGAGGTCCTGGGTTCAATCCCTAGTCGCCCCCAACTCCCACTGAATTGCTGTCGCTGGCAAATTTTATGCTTGCCATATGATTAAATCATGAAATTTCCCATTGGTATCTAAATCCTTAGGAAATCTAGCATTAAGTTTAAAAGTACAAATTCTGAGCAGCAGATCATTAGGATTTGAAATCTCGGTTACTCTTCACACTTTTTTGGTGACTTTCGGTAAGTCATGATCTCACTGTGCCTCAGTTTCCTTATCTGTAAAAATGAAGATGACACATATCTCTTAGGCATTTCTGTATTAAGTGAATTGACAGGTCTACAATATATAGTATGGTGCCTGACCTGTAGTACACATGATGTACTCCTGTTGTGCAATCTCAGAATGGCAGGAAGCAAAACAGGAGAGCTTTATGTTTGGCATTCAAGATTGCAAAATTTTAGTGAATTATTAGATAATTTTTATCTAGAAAATATTTCCAAGGTGGATACTTTGCTTAAGAGGCAGAGAAATTAGAATTCTCTCTTAAATATGTATCTTTAGAACCCTGATTCAGAACACATGACTGCAGAAAAATAGTTTTCCTCCAATCAAGGAAATACTGTTCAACTTCTATACTATCAGAATATGGAAACTACAAACAAGTTACTCAGAATATATCTGCATATAAAAGTCTGTGAAGTTTTTTGCAATTGTATTGATTCCTTTAAATCACATCATGGAATTCATTTCATGACCACTCTGCTAACTTTATAATGCAAATGCCTGCTATGTTTAAAAACTCTGCTTTAACTATATGGGGTTTTAAAAGACTGTTAAATAAGTCCATCTTTTAAAAACAAAGAGATGGTTATTTCCTGGTATGTCTATTGTTAAAGATGGGAATTCTAAAGCAGTTCCTAGTTTCTAGTTTGGGTTTAGGCTTGTGTTGAGATTTCTGAACATATTACCCTTAAAAATAAAACGAAGTGGCATTTGTAAAGATGAAATCACTTAACCTTTCTCTTGATGGTTTCTGTAATTGATATTATCATGATCACAGCCTCATTCTGCCCACTACAGGATGAAGGCCATACCTAGGTGCTGCCAAGCTTTGAGCATTGCTGTCCTGGGTCATGTGAGGTCACATTGGTTCTCCAAAGGCTGTCAGCTCATCCCTTCATGTATATTGATGGCGGCCCTTCCTGTATCTAGTACCCAATGGTCTCCATTCTGTCGTAAGTGTAGTGCATCTTCCGTCTCTTCCATACATCAAAGATTGCCCTTTCCGTTCACATTCCTTACAACTTTATCCTTCATTTTGACTTAGTCCCCCCTTTCTCCCTTGATGTGTGTTAGCTTAAAGAGGCTGCCCTGGCCCTCTTCTCCTCTTACCTCTAAGCAATTTGCATCTCAAAGCAAACTAAACTTGACTTAGATGGACATCTCTCTAGTTTTTTCATCTTTCAGTAGTTAGATCTTTGTATATCTCACATTTTAAACCATTTCCTATAGGTTCTCCAGTCTTTGTTTCTACTACTACATTTAGAACAACTATTCATTTTACAGCAACTCCTTTAGAGTCCAACCTTGGAATATTTGGGTGTTTTGCATGGGTTTGTCTAGATTCCCCAATACCCTAAAATGATAAATTCCTAGGAGAGTGGTCTCTTGCTCTCTTATTATTATTATTTTTTCTTGCTCTCTTATTTACCAACTCCAGGAATTTTTTTGTCCTTTAAACTCAGTTTTGTCTGTATAGATTCTGATATTGCTACTGCTTAATCAGAAAAGATATTAAATTAATGTATTAATTGATTTCTGTAGCTATTAAAGTCTTTAATATTTGAGGAATCAAATAGAATGAGAAGTATCCATCAACTGTGCTTTCTGTGTCAAACCTGATGTTTAGGAAGACTGCAGTGACTTAGGACTGGAGAGGATATTGTAAAATGTGCATCTATAATTACTTCCCTTTAAATTTGGATATTTTGAAAAAATGTTCTTTTACAAAGCAGAATAGGATTGATGAAGCCATTTTACCTGATGGGCAATGATATAATCATTGGGTGTCTAAGACAGGTGGAGTTCAGGTCTACGTGCATGTAGCAGCATGTCAATGAGACATATATGGAGCTGCAGCCAAGGTGAAACTCTTCATAGCATCTCAGTGTGGCTTATGAACCCTCGGGATGCCTATTGTAGAGCGCATTGAAGGTGGAAGGTTGGCTAAACCCTGAATGTTAATGTTTGAGAAAATTTGAGGCTATTCACATTCATGAGGTTTAAGTAATATTTATAGAAAAAAAGTGTAAGAAATTTGAGGGCTTTGGCTTCTAAGGACAAACACAGTGAATTGAGTTTGCAAAAATAATTTGTATCACGAAGTGACATATTCTGTGGGAGCTAAAAAATTAGCTTCCTGTGTTTTGCTTAATTGAAGCTTCTCCAGTGGTTTTGCCTCCTTTAATGTTTTGTACTATTTAGTTACATTCTGGAAGGGGAAAAGGGTTTATGATGTTTTTTTTCTTCATCTTCCTTGTCTGTAAGGTAACAAGTACATATCTATTCTTAGTGGTCAGCCTGCTAAATAATGGTAATGATGAAGATAATAAATAGCAAGTAATGTCTAATGAAAGCATAGGACATGCTATGCCAAGCATGTTGTGGGGAGCACCTTCTTCAATCCTCAGATGAAGTAGCCCTTGCCTTACATGGGGCAGCAGAGGCAGGGGGAAGCTAACTTCCCCAAAGTCATGTAAATAGTAGTTGGTAAAGCTACAATTCACCTCCACTGGGTTTTAGAACTCTCTTCTCTCTATTTGCCTGGGACTAGTAATTAGTATTATTTATGCATGAACTTTGGATAACTTAGCACTTTAAAAAATCTTTTAAAAGATTTTTCTTTTTCCTTAAAATAAAGTTTGGTTCTTCATCAAAAATTTTGAAAAATGAAAAAAATTTGATTCTTTGGAAAAGGCATTTTTTTCTGTGTTTACACTTTACTATCTATTCTTATCCAATTACTTATACTTAAGTTTAAGTCTTTTATCCTTAAAAATTGTCTTTAAAAGTTGTCATAAGTATATCTTTCTGTTTTACTGTACTTGTCTAAATGTGAATTTCATAGCACTTTACTTCTTCTGGAAATAGTTACAGTTGCTAAAGAAGGTAATCTTGAAAAACCTAATTAACTATGTCCTATTTCCAAGTTGTATATGCACCAATTTTATCTAGCTTTCTTTAAGAATGAAAATTGTTTCAGAAAGAACTTTTTGGTTTTGTCATTTACTTTGGGGAAATGAATGTGCATTTGAAAATGCATGGATATTTCCAGGCTATCTGATTATTCAGTAGTCGTGAAATTATAACGTAAACTTTTTAAAAAGAAACTCTTTGGAATAAATTTAGACTTAAGAAAATATTGCAAAGGTAGTATGAAGAGTGTCTGTATATCCTTCACCAAACTGTTATAGATTTTTCCTGATTCAACATAGTTGTTATAATCTAGGGTTCTAGCCACTTGATAAACTATATACCGTGCTTGGATTCAGAACACTCATTTGTATTTAAAGCATTTAAATATAATGACATACACTTAACTAAATTGATTGTGCTTTTTCTTTTTCTTCATGTTCTGTAGCTGCATAAAATATAGGATACTGGACTGAATTTCTTTTGACCTTCAACATATCATTAGATAAAGTATTATTTTAAAATATCAGTCTGTTAACTTGGCATTTCTTTTAAATGTAGAGAAAACTTCAGTTCTACTTGAAATTTATCATGGGCTGAATAATTATTATATTTTATAGAAGTACAGTGTTGATTATTTTCATCCTAAAATCTTCCCAAATATACAGGCTTTCATTGAAAATTCAGTATGGGCTGCACACAGTGGCACACACCTGTAATCAAAGTAACCCAGGAGGCTGAGCATAAGTTCGAGGTCAGCTTCAGCAATTTGAGGAAATCCCAAGCAACTGTAGGAGATCCTGTCACAAAATGGGGTTGAAGATGTAGCTCAGTGGTAAAGTGCCCTGGGTTCAATCCCCAGTACCCACTTCCCCCCAAAAAATCCAATATGGAAGACATGACATGCAGATTTTAGCTATAGATGTCTCTAGATATTCAAGCATTATATAAAAAATATAAAATGTTCATGCCATTTCTGTGAACATGTTCCTTTGAAAGTTAGCATTCCTATATCTACTTTATTATGAGTTTCCTCAAACCTTTAAAATTTGACAGCCTTAGAAGCAAAGCAGTTAAAGTGTTTTATCCTTTAAAATTGTCTTTAAAAGTTGTCATCAATACATCATTTCCTTTCCTGGAAGCCACATACCAAGCTTTGTTTGGTGAACTGAATGTCTGTGAATTCATTCTAATGAGTCTTTCTAGTTTCCACTGATGTCAAATCCATATAATCTAATTCATGTGAAAAATATTGATGCTTAGTGATATTTGTAAGAAGTAATTAGGTGTGTGAACTGGTTAGTCATCAAGTAGGGCTGACCATTTATTGAAAGATAGTAGTATTGGAGCTCTGTGGGAATTATATTATCCTGACATTTGATTATTTTTTCTTTAAACTATTAGTTTGACTCTTGAAAGGAAAAGTTAAAAATATAATTTATTTAACAATATAAAACATACCTATAGAAATCCTCACAGTGAGAGAATCTGAGAAGTGTTCCCAAACAGCATATGTTTTAAAGAAAGAAAGTTGCTTTGGATTTGAGCATATGAGGCTTGTAGACCAATGGCCCTCTTATTTCCCTGGGCTTTGATGACTGGTCTTGCTATTTTTGTGTATTTTCTAGAAGTGAAATGTTCAACCTTTTAAAATTGCATTTTTGTAGCAAAGCCAAGAGAAGGGCATTGCTTGCTTCACTCTGTATAAGGATGTGAGGATGCTGATGGTACTCTCCCTTCTCTCTACCCCCTTCCCACCCTCTTCATAGATGCGCATCGGGAATTCCTTCACAGGCCTGCATCTGGATATGTGCCAGAGGAGATCTGGAAGAAAGCTGGTAAGAATTGTTTAAAAACACGAGTTTAGTGTTCTGGCAGCTGTGTGCAGTTGTTAATGCAGTGATGTGAAGAATGACAAGAAAGGACTTTACTGCTAACAACAATAGCAAAAACAAAACAAAACAAAAACCCATAAAACAAAACAAAAAAACCTCATTAATATTCTTAGACCAGCCCTGATTAAAACATGAAATAGTTTTTATTTTAGTAGCATCTGCTAGTGCCATTATAATTGAAAGGCTGGCAATATTTCCTTTATAAACCCCCTTTTTTTCAGGAGCTATAATGGTTTCAGGCTGGAATTTGGCATAGGAGGTCTTAGCTTACATGCAGTTTTCTTTGATGAAAAAAAAATCCAGTGTTTAAAGAAATTAAATTGCATACTTCAGCATTTTGCTCTTCAAAAACAAAATCACATCAAATCAGTTGACTTGTTAAGGAATGTGTTAAGAATTTTTGTTCACAATTAGCTTTAAAATTGATCTTTTGTGCTAGTTAATATTCATGGATCAGAGCTAAATTATGTTTTAAGTTGAATGACAAAAGTTGCTAACCTTCTGTCTTTCCTTGCCATATGCATTGTCTGCTTTCCATTGAGAGGTATTGCTCTATATTTTATAGTAGATAAGAAGCTTCTCCTGACCCCTTAACTGATTATTGGGCTTAAAGAAGTTCAGACCTGGCAGAATCTTTGTGGAACTCCAGCTGCACAAAACCTTGCATAAAACCTGACTAGGTTCTAAGCTGCTGTAACTCCAACTGTTAGAATTGTTAGACCATTTGAGGTGGGAAAATGGGAAATGCCATTTGTGCAGAGTCAAATGGATGTAGGGGTGATAGCACTAATGGAGGAATCAAGGCAAAGGTTATTTGTTGTTTTTTCTACAAAAGACTTCCCTTGGGTTTTGATTGACTCAGCTGTGTTTGTAGTTCTCTGCAATTTGCCAAATCTCTGGTTACTAGTATCTTATCCAAATATAGATTTTCTAAGAAATACCAGTTTTATAGTATTTATATATTATTATTTATTTTTGTAATACTGGGGCATTCTACTACTGAGCCCCATCTGTAGTCTTTTTTATTTTGAGACAGGGTCTCACTAAGTTTCCAAAGCTGTCCTTGAACTTGTGATCCTCCTGCCTCAGCCTCAACAGTAGCTGGGATGCCTGGCTGAAATACCAGTTTTTATAAGTGTGATAAGAAGTTTTAAAATCTGATAGTACTCTAAGTTCAGTAGCTTAGATTAAGAATGTTCTCTTGCTTGTCAATATGCAAATCAGATAGATTCATTCAGCTTAAATATTTAAATGTGTATGTTGCTTACCTGTATAGTATTATCTGATTTATGGTAATAAGTCACATGATTTCTCTAAGTTGTTCAAATATGCTGAATGCCAGATACCTGAGAGAGTTGCTACGTCTTCCTCCTAACCATTTTTCTTCTCCATTTTTAAGCTGACAGTGCATCTTATTCAAGTAAGAGGCATAAAGAATTGCCGTTTGGACAGCAGAAGGATGACTTTTTATGTTGAGAGGGGAGAGTCTTTTCCTGTTCCCCTTACTTAATGTGTATTTAAGTTAAATTCTTGATAGTTCTTAAAGAAAAGTTGACAGTAAAGTCTTGTGTAATCCAAATTCCTTCTGTGCTATTACCTGCTCAAGTCTTTGTTAGACTGCTATTAAGTGAGAGCAGATTTTTCTGAATATACCACCTTTGTTGGAAAGTCAACTTGAATAGCTAAGCACAAAGGAAGTCCTACCATAAGTGGTGAGCAATTGGAAGCAGATTCAGAACTGTGCTGTGTATTTTCTACTTAATCAGTGTTTTTTCTACTTGATATGTTATAATCTATTGAATCTACCATTATTTTTCTTCACTGTTTTGTGGGTCTCTGAACCCAGTCTTCATGCACTTTTTGTTTGGCGGACTTAAAGAATAGAAAAAGAACACTGCTTTTATTTATTTTTATTTTTTTCCTGTTGTGTCACTGCACTCTTTAAGACAGGTTAATCATCGAGAAAATGTTTTTAGATTATTTAATTTTTAGATGTGGCTATCATTGATGATTTGTTAATAGTGCAGATTAAATTCATATTCTCACAGTAGTGCCCCTAATATGCCACTTAAGAACAGTGGTAGTGGTTGGGAGTAGTTTTCTATGGGTGCATGTTAAATTTTAGAGAGTATATTAAATCTCTGAAGTATGGATAGCAGTTTTATCTGGAAATCTCCAATAACTGCTTATACTATCCATCTGCTTATAATATCCATATCTGCTTCTTAAAAGACATTACTGGTGTTCTCAGTGTCAAGACAGCCAACCTGAAGAAGACACCAAGGGCATAATGTGACATCTGCACTCAGCTTGTTAAAATTTGAAAGCTTTTTTTTCCCCCTAGGATTCTAAAATTGGCTGTGCAAAAACACTTTTTTTTTTTTAAAGGAAGAAACCTATTAAGTGTGTCTTTGCAATGAAAGTACTACACATTGTCTTTGAGGCAAAAGTAAATAAAATTTAAAGCACTTGAAAAATACCCAAGTGGTGGATCTCTAAAATGTTCTAAGTGTGATGCAGTCTAGCAATGCATCCTTTTACATGGAAAATAATTGCAAAAAGTATATATTGTGCTTGAAATTGTATCATATAGTTTTTGTACCATTTTACTTTGCAGTGATTTCAAACTTGCATAAAAGTTGCAAAAATGTATAAATGTATATAAAAAAATTTTTTGTAGCTTTTACCCAGATTCTTCACTTTACCATATATATATGTGGTGTGTGTGTGCGTGTGTGTGTGTGTGTGTGTGTGTGTGTGTGTATGCCCACACATAGCCGTTTGAGAATAAGTTTTAGATTCAATGTCTTTTTACCCTAAACATTTTAATGTTTATTTCCTAAGAACAATATATTCTTTCTCACATAACTATAGAATATTTACCAAAATCAGGACATGAACATTGATACTATACTATTATATTTTTTAGTTGTGGACACAATACCTTTATTTTATTTATTTATTTTTATATGGTGCTGAGGATCAAACCCAGTGCTTCCTCACACATGCTAGGCAAGCACTCTACCACTGGGCCACAACCCCAGCCCAATACTAAACTATATTTCATCTACAGACCCTATGCAGATTTTGCACATTGCTCCAATAATACAGATTAATATTGCACATTTTTAAAGATTAGAAATCTTACTAAATGTTGAACACATCAGTTTTTCCTGAAAAGTAGTATTTTTAAAAGCAATAGCAAAGACAACAAATGTAACTCAGAAGATACAAAGGATCTTTATAAAACTGGAAAATAATCTAACATAAAGATGGTTTTAAAATTGCAACTGAATGTTTTCTTCAGTATATTTCTTTTTAAATGATCAGAGAATGTTTGCAGTTGGTAATAAATATTCAAGCACCTTGCAAATGTCCTACCAATTCTCTTTGCTGATCTGTATATGCCTGTGGGATTAGAATAGGAATGCATAATTTAAATATAAATTGCCTGATTTGCATATACAATTAGTCAAGCTACAGCTTTGATCGTAAGCAAAAATTATTGTCCTGTATTACCACTTAGATAGAATTTTAATTCACCTTGAATATTCAAACTAAATTAGACCCTGGCTGTGTAGTTAGAAGGGCAGTCCTTCCCTGGTGCCCCAAGTCATTTAAGATGGGGTAATAAAGGCATCTTTCGACTCCTGGTAAAGAAGATGCTATAAGATCTGTCTGCAATACCCTGATTCTATCCAGATTTTAGTCACATACCTTGAAGCAATTAACAAAGGCTTAACATATTTTGGTTAATATTTCCAGCCTGGATCTTTCTCTTATACTTGATGGTAAAACCTAGTGGACAGTAATTGCAAATGAAAGTATTTCAGATATGATGCTGCCAAAGTGACAGAGCTACAAAAGTCAGGGCAGCAGATTACTAGTAGGGAGCTTCTGATGGTCCTCACATCATGGGCTACAGATATGCAAAATAAACCTTAGGAATTTAAGAAATCCAGGGAGTACTAACATCTCTTATGTTTTTTAATCTACAGTAAAACATTTTTATTAGGAATCTATGTTTTTAATTAAACAGAACATTTAATTAAGGTGGTTTTTAAGTGGGTGAAACAATTAAGTGCAAACACTTGAATGAAACATGTCATAATTAGTTTTAATAGAGTGTTAATTGGTACTAGGTTTGCCAAGTTAATAATTACTGCTTATTAAATTTTCAATTAATCATTGTCATTTTGCTTTGAATAAAGATGAAAATTAGATAAACTAATTCAGGAGGAGGATATTTTCCCTTGTTAATTAGAACGTTCGTTAATTTTTTAAAATGGAAATTACTTGTTTTAGTTGTCAATCTTATGTTATACATTAGTTGAGTATTTGCACCCTTACTACAGCCAAAAAAAGAGCTAATTTGACACCTTGCAGGTTTGCATTCAGGCCTGATTGTTTTGGGTTGTAGTGTATGATTCAGTCATGTTTGCTGGTGCAACAGTTGGTTATGCAGAACCATCATGGTGTAGATTTGATGAAATCCATGGATAACTGCTTAAAACATAGGAGATTATGTTTTTTAAAAAAATTATCATTAGGTCTATAAATGTGCTTTATAAAAGCACATCTATATTACTCAGAAAATTCTTAAAGAAAACTGGATCATCTGTTTCATCGATTTGATTTAAAAGGTCTGTATTAATTGCTAAGTTACCTTTTCACTCGTTTGTATTTTTAGCCAACAAAATTATTATTTGCACTCATATCTGGATACATGTAAATTTTTTCTTCTTTCTCTGTTGTTTTTTGAGAACTTTACCTGTGAACATTTTATATTTATATAATCTTAGTGTTGTAGACTAACTTTTTTATGTATCTGAATGATCCAGGAAGGTTTCTGTGGGTGTTCTTGCACTTGGTGATACACTGGTCTCAGATTCATTTCTGGAGACGTTGGTTTGGTAGAAAAGTTGTAGCAATGTTATAAGCATTTCAAAAATACTCCCAGAAGTACAAGTTAAGGAAACAGCCTCACTCCTGAGTGAATTTCAAAGATCTGCTATTTTCTTAGCCAGAACCACCCAATAATTTGGATGAGAGTCATGCCTGTTGGATAAAATTCTGTTAAAAAGGGATCAGTGTCCAAGATCCTGGACTGAGAGATGTTCTCTTGTCTGGTTCGCCCGATGGGCACACAGAGGAGGCTGTCAATGAGGTGAAGCGCCAGGCGATGACCGAGCTGCAGAAGGCCGTGTCTGAGGCTGAGCGCAAAGCCCACGACATGATCACGACGGAGCGAGCCAAGATGGAGCGCACGGTGGCGGAAGCCAAGCGGCAGGCGGCAGAGGACGCACTGGCGGTTATCAATCAGCAGGAGGATTCGAGTGAGGTAAGACATTTGGTAGAGCTTCCAAGTGAGCATTACAGTTTTCACTAACTAAGCTGCTCGTTTTTCAATCCAGGAGATCACAAATAAAAATTTTTGGAAAAAATTTCAATTTGGGAAAGTCAAAAAGCACTTGTGGAATTAACCAAGAACTGGTCAAATTTTGTTTCTTTATTAAAGACCTAAGGAAAAATTCTTGGCCAAAAGTGATTTTAAAATGTTTGATAATCAGATTAAGGTGAAATGCTTCACCTCCCATCTTTGGGACACTGAAAACCCGACTCTGTGCGTGTGTGCGCCCAGGCGCATGTGTACATGTGTGTATTGATTGTTTCCTCCTTAAAGGGATTTAATAAAGCTGTGTTCTGTAAGCTATGGTCTCCAAAGACCTAATGCAGCACTGGAATCCAAATTAGTTCTATTAGGCCTAAAGTTAATGATAAAATGATATTTTCATCAGCTAAAGAGTTCTAAAACATTTTACAATCTGTATTTTTCATAATGTTTGTCATAACCATGATGGTCATTACATTGCTATTAGAAATAATATTATTTGGTATAATTCCCATGTAATAATGATCACACATACACATAGACACATATGCACTCAACATAGTATGAATGACTCAAGGATCTAGGAAGTAAATAACTAAAATGTAACAAGGTACTTTTTACAATATAGCCTATAAATCAGAGCAAAGAAATGTTCCATGTTAATTAATACAGCATCACAATCCTCAACCCTAAAGTAACTTTAGATAAAAGACTACAATTAGCTAGTCTCACAAAGCTGAACTCTGCAAAGGCATGAACTGATAAATCAATGGTCTACTACAATACATATCTATAATTTGTGAGGGAGAGTAAGAATTTAATTTGTACCAGGCTTTTCTGTAGATGAAAGACCCTGCGGGAATCACTCAATGCCCAGAGTTTCTATTTAATGTGTAGCAGATGAATAACAAGGGGACAAAAGGAATTGATTTTCAACATTTGAAAGTTTCTCAGGAAGAGAGGGACAAAGGAAAGTTTATCTACCCTTTAACTGCTGACTTTTCCATTGTCGAATTAAACTAGATAGAAATTCAATTTTATTGACATCTAGCAGCTAAGATATATAAGGACTTTGTTTTGTGTTTATGTGTTTTGAAAAAATTCATTAGTATCTTTTGAAGAGAACTTGTATAAGTTAGTAACATTGTAGGGCACATTTGTCATTCTTCAGATATTATCACTTTCACATGAATGTTTTAGGGCTGTTAAGAGCATTTTTTTGTAAGTCCCTAAAATCTAAAGACAAATGTCTAAGAAGAAATTGTGAATTAGTAAGTCTTTACGTTTGCACAATAATATGCTGTATTTCTTCAGTAGCTATAAGCTTAGTGTCTTTATTCTAAAACCTATGCAGAAAAGATATGATTTTGACAACAGTCTTTATCATTGTCATATGTTGTATCGAACAGATCTCAAGTCTGAACAGTTCCCTGGGCTCTTTCTGGACAGCAGAAAACTCTGGTTTCCTTGGGCTAGAAGAAAGTGCCCTTACCATGGCTGAACCCCAAAAGTAAAGAGAATCTGTTAGTCCTAGTCCAGGACATTTTAGAATTTTCACCTAATTTCTGTTTCTTAATTCAGGATTTATCTTAAATATTAACCATTCAACCCCAAATTCAGCCCACATAGCATCGTGATTTAGATACGTTGTGAACGATTCATTTTTTTAGGGAAAAAAAAAAGACCTGGACATGATAGTAATTGCTTTGAAAAAATATATGTATGCCCATTAAATGCAACAGCTATTGATTTAAAAACTGCATTCAGAAATTAATAGACCTTCTTTTTGTGACCTACCCAGGGAAGTAGGTTATTTGCTACATATAGAATTAAACTACATTCATTTGTCCATTTATTCTTTCAACAAATTACTGAGCTTTTATTATATATCAGGGACATTGCTGGCACTGAGGGTACAGAAGTCACCGATGCATGTTAACAGTTCAATGGGAGAATTGGATCACCAAATTGTAAGAGTCATAATAAAGTTTAAAGTGAAGGCTTCCAGTGCTTAAAGCTAATCAAGACTGTTTTAACAGCTGCCCTCCCCACCTCCCACCACCTTATGGTGGTTCCTGGGGCAGTGGGCATGTGCAGGGGACAAGAGAGAGGATGGGAAAGGAAGCTTTGCTGGTCTTTGGAAGCATGATGGCCCTGTGACTGATGGGTGTTGATAAAGATCACTCAGACTGCAGTGTGGCAAGAGATTAGAGGAAATGTAAAAGAGGGACTGTCTCAGTGTTTCAGGAGGACAATGGGTAGATGAAGATGACTGGTAGTGGTGCTGGGGTGGGGAAAATTGGTTGTGCTGGCTGGAAACCCAGGAGATAGAATGGGCAAGAGAAAATGTGCTTGTCAGGAAAGAAGTTCAGGGTACACACATCAGTTGACTCTACTTGAACCACTTTCACAAACTTGCTGGCTTCAGTCTGCCCAACGTAGGTGTAAGGGTGCTGGGGAAGACAACCTTTGCTCATTTGGTGTGTGTGCATAAGCAACACCAGTTAAAAACGTTTAAAAGCTCTAATCAATTATTGAATCCAGCTAGACAGGTCTTCTCTGTTTACTGGAAAGGGCAAATAGAGCACAGAAGCTTAAGTAGTTCATCTTGTCGAATGTGAGAACTGGGGCTGTGCATTGGAAGGTGACCAGCAAGATGGCCCTGCATCCTGGCTTGAGTAGGCCAGTCCCAGTTTATACATGTCATCCTTATGTAGCTGCTCAGAATGGTTCCTTCCACTCTCAGGTGTCCTGGTTTGGATGATGTTGTATGGTCACAACATTTAAAGGCCATGTTCAGCTGATTGGATGATCATCTGCTCTGTGGCAGAAGGAATCCAAGGGCAGTGCCCCAAGACTGGATTCTGGCCCAGCTCTGTTGCCATCTTGGGTTCTTGAGCGAGTCATCTTTCACTTCACCTGCCTAACTGAGTTGTTTAAAAACCGTTTTAACAGCAATATTATATAGTGTTTGAAGAGTGAAAACTCAAGGCATTATTATCTGCTCATATTTCACACAATCATATTTTTTTGCATATTTGAATTTATTCAAGTTTCCACAGTCATCCTTCACCCAGTATATGCTAAACTTGTGCCTGAAACAACATCCCCTTCTCCTTTTCCCCCCTCTTTATTTGAAGCCACCTCTTGTAGTCATCAGCCCACCTCTTATGATCAGGTGTATAATTTATGTAATTCACATCTGCACAAAAATACATGTAGATGATATAAATACACATGTTATTTTGTATGTGTGTATTTTGTAAGGTCTTTATAGAGACTTTGAGAAAGCACTTGTGCTTCAGAATTAGAACACTAGAGTTCTGTCCCAGTGTGCTGCTTGTTTTAAGTATAGACATCTAACTACTTCTCTCTATAATTTCTGCATTTAGCTTTCCTCCTGTACCTTAGTTTTCACATCACATAAAAAGGAGCTAGTCATTCCCTTCATGCTTAGAAAAACCTGTGGTTCTAAAAAGTTGGCAGCATAGGATAGAGAAAATATGGAAAGAGGGAGAGAAGAGCTGAAAATGTTTTACTGAGAAGACCAGAGCAGGCATGACTAACACAGTGGTATTACTTGTGAGGGACAGAGGACCCATTTTAATTTATCATCCACACTGGGATGCTTCTCAGAGTAAACAGGGTGCTCCTGCTGGGATGGACCACTCCTGTGAACTGGCTGTCCATCCCAGGCACCAGGAATGGGGGGAGGGGTCAGAAGCAGGGTTAAAAAAGGTTCTATGAAGTTTATTTTGCCTGTGATGAAATGAGAAGACCTACAATAAGTTTCTGTCCCGGTGCCAGGTGTGATACAGAGCTACCTCATATACTTTAGCTCTTTCTTCTCATACCAGCTCTGACAGAGTAAGGAGCTGATTTTATTTTTGTTTGTTTGTTTTTTCAATTTGCAGTTAAGAAAGTTGTCTTGAAGGGATTAGGTCACTTGTTCACAGCATCTCACAGTCAGTACATGTGAGCTATCCTAAGCCCAGGTTGCCTGCCTTGTAAGCTACCTTCTTAATAGTCACATGGCAGTAGTAGGAATTATTTTCCCCCAGTTGTGCACTATTGTATCTGTTTCTTCATTGGACTCTGCTCAATTATCTCTTCCTAGTTTCCTAGCTTTATTTCAGTTTATAGACTAATAATTATTATTACTTGTAGTTAGAATGACTCTGTACTTGGGACAGAACCTAAGCAGTATGATACTTTCTGTACTTTTTATACTGAAATATGTGTTTCACCAGGAATGTAATGCCAGCATTAGCTTTCTTTATATTTTGGCTTTATTTATTAAAAGACCTGCTGTTTGATTCCATAGGTGTTCATGGGGTAGTGGACAAAGAACAGGCCTTGGACTGACTTTGACTTGCTTATTTTTTGGAGCTTTGGTTTTCTCACCTGCAAAACTAGGATAATGTTTGTGACCCACTTTGTAAGGTGGTTGAGGATAGACATTAGATGACAAGTATTTAATATATAAAAGTTTGCTTGATCAATGAGGAGAAAGGGGGGGAAGGGAGGGGGAGGGGGAGGGAGAGGAGGAGGGAGGGATAGATAGATTGGGGGGCAGTTAAGAAATGATCCAAATCAGAAAGGTCTGAGGAGATTTAGGAGTAACCATGAGGTAAAAAAGCACAGGATGGAGACTAGAAGTCAAGACTGTGGAGTTCTGTAGAGTTCTTTGTGTAGTGGTTGCTGGGGCTGTAGAGCAGTTTGCAATCAAACATTCAAGTCCTGGGATTGGGCGTTACCAATGAATGGCTCCAGAGTCAAGTGCAGGGAACACTGACTTACAGGAGCATCCTGGTGGGGCTCCATCCAGAGCAGGGAATTGAGAGAATGCAGCTCAGGAAGATGAGATGGACAAACGGTTTTGGGAGTCATTCACTTACAGCTGAGGGTTGAAATCAGATCTGATAAGGGAGCACAGAGAAAAGAAGGGGGATATGTTTTGGTTGGCCCTCCCCCTTTGAGAACTACTTAGAGGGAAATAAAGAGGAAGTTACAGTACAAGAGAGTTTCAGTATCTTGGAAATCAGAATCAGGTACAGTAAAAAGGAGGAATGGGGAAGTGCTCAGTAGTGATTAATCTTTAGAAAGTCTGAGGATGGTGAGGATGGAGGTAAAAATGGTTTAGTTACTTATGAAGCAAAGGGAAGAAACGTGATGTTCATTCCCTGTAGCAGTCATGCCAGTGGGGAAGGTATCCAGTTTGGACAGGGCCACCAGCTTCCTGTAAAGGCAGAGAGGTGCAGGGCCTGGAGAAGTGGTTTATATACTCTTACTTTCTTCTACCTCGAGCCAAGAGGAGCCAATGAGGCTTCTGCTGCCACTTCTTCTGGACCCCCTGATCCTCAGATACTGCTCAGCTCTGACATGACCCTGAATGATCCTGTGCAGTTCTTATTTCTGCTCTATAGGTACTGTTGCTCCAGAAGTCTAAGGAACTTGCCTTGTGGTTCTAAAGCCACTAAATGATGAAGTTGGAATGGAACACAGGTTAGCCTTGTTCTTAGCCTGTGCCATTTCCATTACGCACCAGAATGTCTGTCCTTGATGCCTCCAATTTCCTGGTCCAACCTTCATCCACTTTCAGGGATTAAGGGCCCATCAGATCTGTTCTGTTCCAACAATACATTTAAAAAAATATGAAATTGACAAAATATGGCATTTTGGAAAGAAAATTTGATTTGCAGTCCAAATACCTAAAGAACTCAAATGTTGGGCTATATCACTTCTTATCTTTGTAACTTTGAGCAAGTGTTTTTTTTTTTTTTATCTTTGAAAGTTTTAGGGACCTCAGTTTCTTGAGCAGCAAAATGCATGTGACAGTGATTTTCAATTGTCAAGTGAGATGCAAGTTTATAATGTGATTTCAGTGTGCAATTAAGTCAATGTGTTGCCTTCTGTAGAGTTCTTTACATTTGGAAAATTTTAAATTTATAATCCTTCCACTTAAATTTACTGAGCATTGATTCTGTGTCAGACCTAGAGAAACATAAAGTAATTCAGGAGAAAATCTCTTGTCCTTTTCAACAGCAAGAACTTGAAGGGATATATTTTGCTGGTAGGACAGAAAGACCATTCTATGTTTCAAAAATAAGATAAAGGAAATGTTTTTCTTTGGAGCAGAAAAGAATTGCTGATAGGAAACAAAGAGTCAAAAATCTTTGATATGCAGCTATGGCATCCAGAAGATTCAGTCTATCACCTCTATGTCCATATGTAGCCTTGTGTTTAGTATATTTAGTGAAGGGGAGGTTTGGGTTCAGCCTTAGACTCTTCAGAGTCACAGTCCAGCTTTGGCCAAATGACTTCTTCTCGTCTTTCAGATAGGGAAGAAAATATTCTTTATGTCAGAAAAGGAATATAGACTAATATAGTCTAATATAGACTCTAAAGCACATGAGTTTAGGGAATGAAATGTACTGTAAAAAGAGTATTTCTGAAACTTTACACACTGTCGCGGTGATTTCAATCACTGGCATCCTTCCTGAGAACCTTGGAAGAGGAGCTCAGTTATTTAAAATAAAACAACTACTAGGGTCTACTAATCTGACTATAAAAAGCAGGTACTGAAACATGTAAAATTTGATTAGTCATTGACCACCTTTATACCTGCCTTTGTGGCTCTGCCCCTGTGTGTTACAGACACAATTTGTAGCTTCCACCTTTGTGGGCTGAAGAAAGCTTGGAAACTTAACATGATCCCACTTAGAGTACTCACAGGATCCTGCACTGTCCTCTCTTCCTAGGATTGTGACTTTTCAGAGGCTGAGTATCCCTGGTCTGACATCAGCCCTACAGGAGGAAGCAGGAAATGCAGTGAAGCCATCTGAGAGAAATATATTAAGAGAAAGCATCTTCAGTTTTCTAAGGAGCTTTTAAAAAGGAATATGCACTTGGAAATTTTTGTTAGTTGAACATGTGCTAAAGTTCCCTACATGTTCATTGCAGTACTGTGTCAAGAGCAATAAAAATATGCAAGGTTCTTTTTTCCCCCCTATCAGATCATTTAATTTGTTCTCTGTCGTACCTTCCTAGAGCCGAAGGTTGTTTTGTCCCAGTGGTGGGTGGTAAATGACTACAATCGAACAACATCAGAATGAACTAGAGGTAAAACTAGCCAGAGCCCTTAAATCCTGGATCAGAACCAGGCAATGCTAGGCAAGAAGCCTCAATTCCCAGCAGCTTCACGATCCAAAACATCTGTTTCTGTATTTGGAACAGTTCCACTTTTTTTTATTTGTAAAATTGTTCCCATCTTTGGAAACACTTTAAAAAATAAAGAAGTCCCCATTCTGTCTCCTCTTTCCACTCCCCAACACATGCATTTGTAATTACCTGGTTTAGTCTGTGTGTTTAATCAGTTTAAATTGAGAATGTTGCATACATCTGATTTCAATCTGAAGGAGCCATTGAGTATTGGGCAGTTACCACCCTTGTGTCTGCCAAAATGTGCCGCTGCCAAAAAAACGGATAGGACTCACACCAGGGTATTTCCTAAAGAAGCCACTTGACTCAGATTAGATGTTTAATTTCCTTAAAATATTGTTTTGGATTTGGGTCTCTGTTCTCTAATTGGGATTTTCTGATGTAATTTAGGAATATCGCTTATTTGCTGAGTTTGTTCCAGAACCCAGCTGGCAATCTTCTAAAAGTTAAACCTCAGGGAAATAAACTTCATTCAGAGCACTGAAGTGTCCTATCTCACTGCTTGGAAGGGTGCATCGGGCCCACGTTTATTCACATCATTGTAGAACCATCATCCATGCATTGCAGTGGAATTAATTTGGGAGAGGAGGGCTTCTAGTTATGATAATGAAGACTCTGATAACAGATTTACAGCTTTTGAGACATTTACTTTAACTCAAGTAGAAAAAACTGACTTTGTTCTAAGTTCCAGAACTGCTTATTTTAGCTTCGTTTTTGCTTCTAACATTTATGTATCGTCCAAGTTTCTAGATCTCCTCTGAGTTCATATAAATGCCTCTAGTGGGTAGAGTTTGAGACCATAAATTCTTTGTGTTTTTTCCCCCCATTGGGCCATAATTTCTGAATGGTAAAGAAATAAGAATGTAGAGCTAAGCTCTTTCTAAAAGTTTAAACCGGAATTCTTGAGTTCGCAGCCTTCTGGTATTCAAGAGCCTCGAGGTGTTAGAAACGTTAGGTTTGACTGCTAACAGTTGTGTGCACATTTTGCACAATGGTAAAGGCTTACACACCAGGGGATGGGCTGATATCCCACAGGGTCCTTTTCAGTAGGCTCATGAACCCACCTTGAGCCACATAACCAGCATGTTGAAAGTAAAACAAATGTAGAGAACACAGTGGGGACACTTATCCATATCAGGGCTTTAAAAAATTCATTTGAATTGTAACATAACCACATACCCTCAGCTTGTTGGAGTTACCAGACTATAGTGAGAAATTTGTTTTGCAAGAGAATCGTCAAAACCAGTGAAGATGAAGAATAAAATACTGCATGGCGGAAAGTTAAGATCACTTGGCACAGCATTTCACAGTGGAATTGGTACTGCCAAAGGAGCTAGGGACATTTAACCATGTAAATGAACATTTTAAAAGTCAGCTTTCTGAGGTTCAGTCCCCTTCTGAAAGGGTCCCTTACCCATTGTTCTAACTTCCCTAAGATCTGTCCCAGATAGGTGTTCTTCGCTCTCTGTCCTCTGTGCTTTGATTCACGAGGTGCTCATCTTAGAGTCTGAGGCAGTCTCATCTGTGCCTTTTTGACGTCTTGCAAGACACCACCCGAGAGATGGGCAGCTGACTTTCTAGGGTCAGCGTTTAGTTCTTCTCACTCACAGATGAGCCCCAATTTCTTCTGCTCTTCGAACTTCCTCAAGTTGCAAAGGAGTTGCACCAGTCAGAAAGTGTTGTATGCAATGAGAATTGTTATTTTTGTGGTTTCAGAATTTCTCACTTTTTCGAAACTAAATCATTAGGCCTCATCTGATTTACTCATTTTACAGTTATTAATCCGGCACCTACTTGATAGGTGAGGCACTGATGTTTATAATATTAGCAAAAACAAACCAAGGATCCTGCCCTCCAGGTTGCTGAGGTGAAGGGGATTGTTTTAAGACCATCCTCGCATTGGGTTATGTTACACCTAACAACTGAAGTGGAAGAACTAAACACACAGAGAGGTTACAAGTGCCTTGCCTCACCCTGTCTAGCCTGGGATTGAGGCGGGAATTGACTCCTTTGTCATACTCCATTGTATTTCCTTAAGTCCAGTGCAGAAATCTGGTGTTTCCTTTGTGATTCCTGCTAGTGTCTGGAAGGAAGTTGCTTCTGTCTAAGATGGTGTATGTGTGTGTACCATCATGGTACCAGTATTAAAAGGGGCAACAATTTGTATATAGAAATTGCTGGTTAGTATATTTGAACAGGGAATAGTCTAGATATGAAGAGAGCCAAGCCTAAAAAGAAAGGACTTTTGAGTTAATGTTGAAAGGAGGCTCTTCCTCTACTTTATTGGATGCTATAATGATAGCAGAAAAGTTAGGATGATGATTTCACCCAACACTGCCTCCTCTGTGTGTTCAGCTCGTAGATTCACATACATACACCTAAAGCTTGCATTCCAGCTGTGTAGCTGCAATGGTATAGTTGGGCACGGTACTGTCTAATGTATTTATCAGACTTTTGCCTCAACCATGCATTCATTTGGGATCTCCCTTTCTTCTGCCATCTCCTTTAGAGTTGCTGGAATTGTGGCCGTAAAGCAAGTGAAACCTGCAGTGGCTGTAACACAGCCCGATACTGTGGCTCCTTTTGCCAGCACAAAGACTGGGAAAAGCACCACCACATCTGTGGACAGACCCTGCAGGCCCCGCAGCAGGGGGACACGCCGGCAGTCAGCTCCTCTGTCACACCCAGTAGTGGGGCCGGGAGCCCGATGGACACACCACCAGCAGCCACTCCGAGGTCAACCACCCCGGGGACCCCTTCCACCATAGAGACAACCCCTCGCTAGACACGGACTCAGAACTGTCGGAGGAAAGACA